AGGATCGTGCATCATACGTATCTAGAACCGCAGTTCAAAATATATGAACTTCATATATCCATCGTATCTGATTTATCATCACGGGTTTATTACGAATCAACTTAACGGCCTGCTCCCAGTTGGCTTGTTAGCTCAATTGGTAGAGCGCTGCACTAGTATCGCAGAGGTCAGTGGTTCGAATCCCGTACAGGCCTGATTTTTTTCAGGTCTGATTTTCGCTATTGCATAAATAGTGCTCTCTACTGCGAGGATTGTGCATCATACGTATCATAGTTATCATAATAATTGTGAAGTGTCCTAACTATCATTATCATATCATAGGCAAGAGCGCTGATTTCTAGTTTTTTTTTTTCCCAGAATCTTGATCAGTTAGATTGGGGTGGAGCGGATTGCACCTACAGAGTATTCTATCGTCCAAATACTACAAACGAAGCCTGGAGGAATAAAACTTCATTGGGCAGATGTGATCTGAATTTTATTCTAGTACAAGGAGTGTTAACAAATCAAGTCTACGAGGTTAAGATTCGAACCGAGAACAGAGAGGGGCCTGGGCCGATGAGTCCTTCCATTTTTGGTCGGTCCGGACAGTTCCCCCCCCTTGAACCACCAGCCGATATAACTGTGGTTCGTGTTAACGCGAAATCTGTAAATATTAGTTGGACTCCATACAAACCCACACCTCCTCGGTCAGTGGACGGTCACTACGTATGTATTAGCAAGTACCAATTTCAATGTTGAAGTGTCATACTTCGTTCTTCTTTTTCGATCAAGTTTTAGCCCTCTTCATCCTAACATTAGTCTGCATATTCTTCATACGATCCTCTAGACATTTCTCAAGATGCTGGTAACGAGAATCTGTTTTAAAATCTAGCACTTCTGTAGTTGGTGATAATTTCCTTTAAATTCGTAACCAAAATTTTTTATTCAATGGTGATATTGTAAGGAGAAATTAGATGCTAGTCACTCTTAGAAATCAAAGGGTAAACTTCAAGTAGTCGGGCTCAATTTTTCTTTTGATTTAGTTCTTTTTTAGACGGTCTAGTGCTTGCTGTCGTCAAGTGACTAAAACGTCTCTGTCTTCAGCCAAAAGATAACGCCAGCTTACACAAAATGTGACAGAACGCGTTCACTATTCAAGCGGAATGTGTGGAGTGGTAAAATACTCTTTCTTGCCTCTCATAATTGACTTCGGACAGCGACCGGAAGTAGATTGCAGCCACATCCGGTCTGCTTTGACATCTAATAAAACATGAGTGACCAAAACCTCTTAGATTAAGCTCCTCAATATGGTCCACTACAATATAAAAACACTTTCCACTTACCTATTTAAAACCTTCGTTTATTATTTTCTAGATCTACCTCTGGCAGGGTGTTCGCACAAATAAAGTGGATTTGCTTACAGACCATGATTTTTCTGGGGAAATCGTGGAGATTCCAGACCATGCCATAACAGTGAAAGTCGTGGGAGGAAATGTCGTCACTGGGGTAGTGACGGGGCTCACTCCATGGACCATCTACACCGTACTGGTGCGAGGTTATAACAATGCAGGACTCGGTCCAACTAGTTTCCAGGACGTTTTTGTAAGAACTTTGGATGCAAGTAAGCGGACGACAAGTTGATGTTACTTTGCGATTTTCCCCCTCTGGCACTGAACCGTGATAAAATTGCTAGCAATCTAAGATCGGAATTGAAGTTTAAACAGTTCTGGGCCCAGTGGTATGAAGGTCGGATAACGCTATCCTGCGGATAAATCGCTATCCGATGGATAAGCGATAGAAAAACGTACCCACCAGAGAGAGAGAGAGAGAGAGAGAGAGAGAGAGAGAGAGAGAGATCCGGTGGATAGCGTTATACAACTTCGAAGAAATGGAGCCTGATGCTGGATCAACCAAATAGTAGGGCTGTTAAGAACCACGCACATCAGTGGATTTTGTTGTTGAAAAAGCCATCTAAATCAGTGTGTGATTTCTTTCTTATAATCGGACTCGTAGTAGATGACATTTTCTTTTCAAATTTTTCTCCGCAGAGGATTCCTATTACATTTTGACGCTGAGAATTACAAGTGAAAACTTCTCAGAGGACCTCAAAGATCGAATTTCCAATCGATTTAAGGCTTTGAAAGAAAATGTGACGACAGAGGTTAGTGGCAATATTGTCTGAAGATTGAGCTGAAAATAGTTCGATGTTTTCAGAGGCAGAGGTAATCTAAAGAGAAAGGAGTGGTTGATGGGTGTAAGCGTATTGGGATGGGACGGGACGGGTGTGAAGGCACCTTGCTGCATCCCCTCCCCCCCACCTCAAATTTAAAGTGTAAAAAGATCAAAACTATTTTAATGGATTTCTTTATTCCGACTTCGGCATCTTTGGGCTGGGGTGGAGTACAATACGGTGTATGGCCAAAGTTTTATTTTATAGCTAATAGCTGAGCCAAATATGTGAATTGATTATTTCTTCATTGAGCTAATTATATACTTATTTAATTACAATACCATATTTTTAACTACTTCTTTTAACAATGAAATTAGACGTGAAATTAAAGACAAGTGAGAGCTGTGAAGCTTTTACCATTTAAACCCTCACATCAGTGTGCAAGATCCCCTTACTATTCTACATAAAATGTCGTCGTTTCAATGCTCTTAATTCTTGTACATGTTAACCAACTGTTTTTATTTGTTTATTCTTTTTTATTGTTTTTTCTTTTTAATTTTTTTTTAACATGGGGGTTTGTAAGTGGGTTGGGTTTCAATTTTGTCTGCTCTTAGGGGATAAGCTCAGGTAATTTACCCAGTAGGGGACAACCTTGTCCTATTGTAAATTTACCTGCCTTTGGCAAATTGTTAAATAAATAAAATAAATGCATTTCCAAGGGTATTTGGAAGAAGAATTTGTCTCACAGAAAAGAGCCTCTTGGGTTCAAGATCAGTTTCTTTATTCTTATGACCTTAACGTTTGTTTCAGGGGGTGATGCTAATCACTCTTATGGTGTAATATATAGGGTCATACAAAGCAACAAATAATCAGCTTTTCCTGGCATTAATTTTCACAGATTACAAAACTTTATTCTAAAAGTCCATGGTTTAAGAGCGCTACCGTGCTGTCTTTCAGGTATGTATTCTACTTGTTTCCACATATTTTCTAGCAAACACTCTGAGTGGAGGTATTATGATATGAAATTAGCCAATCACTGAGAGCTAGAAAGGGAATTATTTTAAGGGAACAAAGGTCATAGTGGACGCGAAAATGGGAAAGTGTGTGACAGATATCCATCTAGTGGTTTTAAAAATGATTTTCGTTACGATCCTAAAACATTTATGACGAGTTCATGTTTCATTCGTCTACAGATTCGAAACCCGGCCTTCATGGGAGTTCTACTTGTAGTTTAATTGCAAATTTTCACAAGTTAATTTTTTTTAGTTTGTTGTTCTAAGGAAAAGAAAATTCCATTTCACTTTTCAGCCCTGGAAGCGTTCAGGCAGAAATTCAGATGCAAACAGCGAGTCCCAATATTAGTTTTATTGAACAAGTGGTATCCCAAGCTGATAATCTTGGAAACTTCTCGTTGGATAGAAACAGTACAAAATTACAAAACCAAGCAGGTAATGTTTAATTTCCTAGTATTACTGAACCATATTCGTAAAAGATGACGACAGATCGTGACATATCCTAACCGTGCGAAGTGATCATTTCACGGAGGCTGTGAGTTCTGAAATTGTCACAGCTCGCTTTCTTTCTGTTTCTGGAGAAGAAGAAAGAAGTAAGTTTAAAGGATGTCTCCTGAATAATCACCTAAGAAATTGTACAAAAGTAATTATGTGGTCTCCCTCAAAAACACCATCCCCCCCTAGTCAAAAGACAGTGACTGGTCTCTAAATATCATTATATATATTTTATTTTTACTTTTGTCAGGAATACAAAATGTAACGATTCAAGCTTCTCATTTGACGGTGAACGTGACTGGCAGATTTGTCATCAACTGCACCGTGATTGGCGGTCCTCCCGACCTTCTGATCACGTGGTCTAAAGGAGGAAATATCGTCGGTTTGAGTCACCGCACAAAAGTCGAGACCAACGGGGGTTATTCCCGCCTCACTGTTAGAAGTGTAGTGGCTTCTGACGAGGGGGTCTACGTCTGCCAAGCAGGGTAAGCTCGTTCAACTTGGCAATAGAGAAGACCTTTAATGCTGCTATGAAGTCACCTTTCTAACAACCGCTTAGCGGCGCCAAGAGATTTGTCAATTGTTAGAGAGCTATAAGTGCCACGGATAAAAACTCCTCTTATAGGAAAATATAGATTTAGTCCGGTGAACGAACGTGAAACAAGTGGGAGGCTTATTTTTTTTGGACGTAGTTAAATTTAATCGAGGACTCTGTTAGGTGATTGTGTTTTGACTTGGTGTCCGTTTTATGGACACGCATGCCATAAATTTATATTACAGCACCAAAAAGTGTTTTGGACAATAGGGACCTTAAGCAGTTAGGACGGCAACGCCATGGAAGACTTCGATTAAAAAATGAATTTCTACTCTTAGCTAGAATTTCAAACATGGCTGCAGGAGCTTACTGTATCATATGGCGCCACAGCTCAACTTCAGCATGACGTATAAAAGTGGCGTTGAGTTCCAAATGGAAATTAAATAATTTGCCGTCGCGGTTTCGCTTCGCAGACGATGCAGATTTTGGCGATTTCACGTTGTTAGGGACCTTACGCAATCAGGACGGCAACGCCAAGGAAGACTTCGATTAAAAAATGAATTTCTACTCTTAGTTAGAATTTCAAAAATGGTTGCAGGAGCTTACTGTCTTATACGGCGCCACAGCTCAACTTCAGCATGACGTATAAAAGTAGCGTTGAGTTCCAAATGGAAATTAAAATAATTTGCCGTCGCGGTTTCGGTTCGCAGACGACGCAAATTTTGGCGATTTCACGTTGTTGTTTTGCATAGGACGGCTAAGAAA